ACCTGGTATAAAGGTTGATATTCCGTATTATCTTGAGAAGCTTTTACGAAGGATGTAGTGCGTGTAGAGCTGGCCTCTGGGGTAGATCACACAAAGGAAAGGATGAATATGCACAAATTGCATTTGCAAGACTAGAATCCAATTTTTTCAACAGCAGACTTGATGTGATGCCAAATGTTACTGCCAGAAGTAATATGTACCTTTGAAGATGTCAGCGGAAAGCCCAGGCATTACTTGGATTGATAAGGAGTAGGGCACAACAAAATATAATGGGACATAACAGGAACTCTCAAGTCATTCAGAAGCTGTACTTTTACAGTGATCTCCTCTCACCTAGAAGATTGTAATGATTGGCTCACAACACTGTCTGTAAAAGATAATTGTTTATATGTGTCTGGTTCCCTCTGTGAAGACACATAAAGCTCTTGTCACAGAATGTTGCATCCAAGTAAAAATTGTTTTAACTCTCAAGCAGCAAATTTAGACCATTTAAAATAATAATTTTCTTGTTTACCATTTTAAAATTGTTTTACATGTTTTCTAAAAGTTTGATTTACATATTTTTATGCTGCAGATTGATCCTATGATGATGTCACAGCAACAAAATCCCAACCTGCCATCAATCCCAACACCATCAGCTATGATTATTAAGCAAGCAACAATGTCTCCCCTTCCTGCTCATCGCATACTACCCTCTCCGACTCCTTCTCGCCGTTCTGTCAACATGCCTTCACTTCAAATGCAACACCATTCCCCCATCATGACTTCGCCACAGCCCACTGCTATGTTTGCACAGAGACATAGTCCTTCCCCTCAACCATCCATGAGGAGTGGGTTTATTAATGGCCAAAGGCCCCCCTCTGTTCTGTCTAGACAGAGTTTACCTCCTGTCTCGCCTTTGGCGTCCCCACTTGTTCATCGTAGAATGCAGCCTCAGAGGTCACCATCTCCCCTTCCTCGACGACCCTCACCCTCCCATTCTCCTCGTGCTTCCATGGTTCGTCGTAGTCCTCCAGCTTCACCCAGAGCATCAGTGAGGCAACGTTCTCCACCTTCCTCCCCCCGCATTTCCATGAGGATGCGTAGTCCTCATCCATCAACAGTTCCTGCCCAACGTCCGTTTAGAGAGCAAAAGATGAGAGAATCCCCTTCTCCTCCCCTCTCTCCTGGTCATCAATCACCTCCTCTTTCTCCAAAGCTCAGCAGAAGACCATCTCCCTCTCCATCTCGTCAGAGTTTATCCCTTGCTGGGCCTCGGCCTGCCCCATCTTCTCCTACCCTTTCACGACGCTCAACTCGGCTTCTAAGGGACCCCACACCATTGGCCAGGCCTAGGATGGGAGGAAATGTTCCTTTAGGTACAGTCAGACCCTCTCCCATGGGTCTCAGGGGACGACCAGTGCCTCCACCTACCCAGAATGTGCGTCCATTTCGTGCATCCTCTTTAAGAAGTAACAGATCTTCTGTTCTTACTATAGACTCTTCTCTCCACTCCTCACCTCTCCACTCTCCTCATATGATTCATCGTGCCCCCCTTCAAAGAAGAGAATCTGGGAGACTTCCTTTTCGTCCCATAGCTAGAGGGCGTCCCCTTATGGCCCAGCAGTCCATAAGAAGCATGCCTCCTGCCTCCCCACAGCTCTCCCTGAAGCACATGCCACGCAGTGCATCCCCACGGCTCTCTCCTCGACTACAACGTCACTCATATGCCCCAGGTTCACATGCTAATCCTTACACTGAGCAATCACATCAATTTGCTTCCCCCTCTACTCCCATGTTATCTCATTCTTTACATAGCCACGCTATCCCACTGGATACGTTTTCATCCCCCCTTGGACCAGAATTACCTCAAATGGTAGGCATGGGTGAGACGGCTGCAGACTTTATAGAACCTGATGTTTCTATATCCCCTGGTGCTATGTACAACCAAGCCTATTCTCCCTCAGTACAGAGACCAATGTCACCTTACCAGCACCCTCTACCACCCTCTTCACCAGTACTTTCTGGAGCTCTACAAAATCAAGCAGTGAGGGAAGCATCCTATGTGTCTCCACTTCAGAGACCACGGTCTCCTTATGCCCAATCTGTACCCTCATCTCCAATGCTTTCTGGAGCTATGCAAAATCAGGCAATGAGAGAAGCGTCCTATGTGTCTCCACTTCAAAGACCACAGTCTCCATATGCTCAGTCTGTACCCTCATCTCCAATTCTTTCTGGAGCAATGAGACATGGTCAAGCAGTAAGACGTATGACTTCTTATCAAACTCCACAATTACATTCACCATATGGACCAACTGTTATTACTCCATATGATTACATCTCAGAACCAGGCCCAGCACCACTGCTCCAAGATGCTTTGCAAACTAGAACTGATTTACAGAATGTGTCTACTTTTAAATCCCCTATGATGCAACGTCGTAATGTTTATTCACCAACTGCTCCTCAGCTCCACAGTGCTCTCCAGCAGAATCCTAACCTCCGCCAAGCATCTTTTCAGACACCTGTGCAATTCAGACAGTCCATACAGGGACCTCAATCACCCTCATCACCAATGTTGGGAAGTGCCCTTCAAAATCGGCACTTGACGCAGGCATCATATCGACTGCCAGATGGAACTTTGATGTCACCTTATGCAGATCCACGTTCCTCCCCAATGCTTGGCCATGCATTGCAAAACCAACAAATACGTAGTGCCTCATATATCATGCCTGATGGATCTGTTATTAGGGTATGTATAAAATGAGTAATTTCACTTTTCACCTGCTATGTTTGTGTACGTTAAAGGCAATTTCAAAATTACAGTTTTGCTTACATGATTTTTCACCACAACACAACAGGACCCTCGCGCACTACAGAAACCAATGTCACCTAACCTTTCCGGAGCTCTTCAAAACCAGCACCTCAAGTCTGCTTCATACACACTTCCTGATGGCACCATTGTAGATCCCAGACAGCAAGTAACTCGATAACCTCTCACTTTGTGCAATTTTTTGTTCAGTATCACCTAGTTAAAACTAAACAATATGTTCTTTGTTCAGCATCCTATTTCCCCAAACCTTGCCAGGGCCTTAAACAATCCAGCTCTGCGTCAAGCCTCTTACTCCCTTCCTGATGGTACTCTTGTGATCGACCCCAAGACAGAAAAGTCCCCGAACCTTACAGCAGCGCTTCAGAATCCTTACTTGAGGGGTGCTTCTTACACTCTACCAGATGGCACAATCGTAATTGATCCAAGGAAAGCTGCCTCTCCAAATCTGTCCAATGCCCTTCAAAACTCCTCACTGCTGAACGCCTCCTTCACACTGCCAGATGGGGTTCAAAATCCGAATGCTCCTGTGTCACCAAATCTGGCTAAGGTTAAGTATGGAACCAGATTATATTGTGTTTTTCTAACGTTTTTATATGTGCATTCTGCTTCTTAGTTTAGGTAGGACTGCTTTACTAAAACATAACTATAGCAGTTGGAAATGTCTACAGAATTATGTAGTTTTGCTTGTTTAATGTCTTAGACTGACTGCAATTGACACCAGCTGTTCTTGTAGGCTCTTAGTAACCCGGCCTTGAAAGCAGCTTCATATACCCTTCCTGATGGAACCCTTATTGTGGACCCAAGGAAACCAAGGAGCCCAAACTTAGTAGCTGCCTTGCAAAATCCATATTTAAAGGGTGTGTCCTACACTCTGCCAGATGGAACCATCATTATTGACCCACGGAAACCAGTTAGTCCTGACCTGTCCAAAGTATGTGTCTGTTAAATTGTCTTTATATTTGCCACAATGCATCTTGTCTTTGTTTTGTTTTTTTGTTTCCTTTTTTGGAGGGGTGGGGTTGCTGCTTTTTAATAATCTTATTCAAATACAAGAGCTTGCTTAGATATATATTCCTTATTTGTATAGTTTATTGATGAATTGCATTTGCAATTTTAGAATAAACTAATTATTTTTGTGTTCTATAACCTGCAGGCTCTTTTGAATCAGAACCTTCGTAATGCATCCTACCGACTCCCTGATGGTTCTTTGGTTATGCCTGGCCAGAAGCCAACAAGTCCAAACCTGGCAGCTGCTCTTAGGCAAAACCAGGGACTTCGCTCTACAGGTCTCTTTCATCTCTCAGAAAACTCATTATTTTCAGGTGCACCCAGACCCACCAGTCCCAATGTTGTCTCGGCACTGCAAAATGAGGAACTACGGGGTGTCGCTTACAGGTAGGAAATTGTACTTAATAATAAAATGAGGAACTAGTGAGACGGCCAAGATGACTAGATAGGATTTTCAAGATACTTCATTTCTTGAAAATAAAGTATTTGTATAGGCAATGACTTTATATATAGATACTGAAATAGAAATCTTTATATGTACAAAACAAAAACAAGAAACAATGTGGTGATCTCTAAACTCCCTACAATCCGCATAATTTTTGACTAATTATTTCTATTTTAGAACAGAAGACAACAAATTTGTTATTTAGTAATAGTCACATTACAACTGTATGTAATGGGATTTTTTTTCATGGCTGTCTCATGAAGTGTGTAAAATTAAAATGGAGGATTTGTTCCTAAACTTTTTTCTATTGATCAAACACCATTTAGTTGCAAATAACTTTTCACTGTCATATTTTACTAGTGTGGTAGAATCCTTTGTTACATTATTTTTGTAGAAAATAAGTTATCTTGGTTCCACAGGCTGCCAGATCGCTCACTTCTTACACGCCGGTTTCACAACCCAAGGTTGTCAGATGCCATCCAAAATCAGCATCTTCGTTATGCCTCCTACACTGTGCCAACAGGACTCCAGGGAGAGGACAATCGTTATGCCGTAATACCTCCATATGGGCCACGTTCTGGCCACTGGGCCAGGAATGCCCGAGGTGGAGGGGAAGGTGGGGAGGATGTTTGGTCTGCTGAGAAGATTTTGCCACATGGGACACTTCAGAATTTGTCAAAGTGGTCTATGTACAGAGAAGACGGAATGTTAGAGGGCTATTCACCAACTCCTAGCATTATGGATAGACACCCTGAGGTTCTGGACTGGACTCCTGGCAGAGACAGAGTACCAGGTCAAAGCTGGTATGACAAGGTAATGTCTAGTTTATCAGTTCATGTGAAAAATAATTGAGATAACCCGTTTTTGATGACTTTCTCCTAATTTATCCTAATTATTGCATATTGTATTTTAAACCAGTTCTGTTGACAATTTTCTGCATGAATATTTTGGTCTAATTTAGTGCTAAATGTGTATGTGTCCAGATCTTCTCTATTATAAGCATGCCCACAACAGGTCATAGGGTTCAACGCTGGGCAGAGGGAATGGAAGACATGACACAACTCCCGTGAGCACCACCACTCAGAACAAACACAACTACTCTTTCACTCTTGTCACACTTTTTTTTTTTCTAGTTTTGTAAATTTTTGTTGAAAAAAGGTCAAATGCAAAATAAGTAGGTACAAGTCTGAGTGTTTTTTTTATTCAAGCCTTACCATTTTCCTTGCTAGATATGATGATGTTTTTTCAAAACTTAGGATAATATTCCAGTCTGCTGCTCTGCTCTGTTTTAATAAAATGTGGCACCTGCGTAACAGAACTTAAATCTCTTCAGTCAATGTAAAACCCTTAATTATATTCTATATTTGTGCCATTTCAACAACAGTTTTTAAGAATTCAAAAAGACCTTGATTATCTTTAAAAATTAATGAACACTGGATTTCAGTGTGTGCCAATATGTGCTCAGTGGATTTATTTAATTTCCTCTGTTTAATTTCAGTGAGCTGAATGAGACCACAGTTCTGATGAACCTGAAGAAACGCTTTGATCACGAACTTGTATATGTATGCTGAGAGTCTAATATGCAAATTAAGTATCTAATATAATCAAATGTCACAGACGCTGCCAGCTCTGTGAATTAATTTACTTTCCCTGTTCCTCCTCACTTTTTGTTTCTTTTTCTCAGACGTACATAGGCAGCATCCTTGTGTCTGTGAACCCCTACAAGTTGCTCAACATTTACGGCACAGACATGGTTCTTCAGTATGAAGGCCACGGTTTACGTGACAATCCTCCGTAAGGCCTTGAAGTGTTCGTGTTCATGTGGATGCGTTTGCCAAACCATTTAAAGCCTGAACCTTTTACCCAGAACAAACTGTCAGTCAGTTAGGGACTTTGATCATTTAAAATGTGTTGCCAGACAAGCATTAAAAAACCTGATCATTTTATATTATCATGTTTAATTTATTGATCTATGTTTGTGTCATTAGTTGAAGAAAAGTCAAAAGCAGAGTAAAAACAAGTCAAACGAGTGCTTTTTAACTCAGGATTAAACATCAGTTTGTTTGTTTTTTAACATCTACCTTTATGCATATTTGTTTGCAATTATACTTTTGTTATATGCATGTCCTCATTTGTTGTGTTGTGCTCATATATGTAGTATCATGGTAAGCAGAAGTGTAAATGTTAACACTTTTTGTGAAAGGCTAGTGTTGCATTGGAGCTAGGTGGTTGCCTAGGATAGTTTTGTCATTCATTTACCCAAAATGTCCTTAGGAAACCGTATGTAAGTGACTGGCCTGTGAACAAGTATTAATTAAAATAATTTATTCTGTTACAGTCATCTCTTTGCCATTGCTAATCTCTCATACACAACCATGATGGATGCCAAAAAGGACCAGTGTATTGTAATCAGGTATGAAATACTCTTTCTGTTACTGCTGATACTCCTGTTTCTTTATCACCAGAACTTGGACAGAAGAAAGTCAGATTTTAAAACTGAAAGACGCAGTTTAATACTTGTGGATTTTTTTAATACCCATGTTCTTGTAGCAATTCTTCTGTATAGAGTGGCTAAATCACTAAACTCTAGTAGTGACAATGTGTATATATGATAACATGAATTATTCAATTCATTTTCAATTCAGTTTATTTATACAGTGCCAGTTCACAACAAGGTTGTCTCAGGGCACTGAAAAGAAACATTCACATACATAGAAAAGCCAATTAGTAAAGTTCTCTATCTAAGGAAGCCAGCAGACTCGTTGAATCTTCACGTCGTCGCAGTCTCTCATCCTGAGCAAGCACAATGGCAACAGTGGAAAGGAAAAATTCCCTTTTAACAGGAAGAAACCTCCAGCAGAACCAGGCTCAGGACAATCTGCTTTGACTGGCTAGTTTGAGAGGACAGGAAGGAGAAGCAAACAAACACAGAATGGCAGGTCCAGATGTTAGTCCAGAACTAGGTTGTTGAGCGATTTGTAGGTTAGAAGTAAGATTTTGAATTCAATTCTGAATTTAACGGAGCCAATGGAGAGAAACTAAAACTGGAGAGATATGATCTCTCCCACTAACTCCAGTTAAGAGGAAGTTAAGAGGAAGCAGCGTTTTGGATCAACTGAAGATGTTTTAAAGAAGTATTTGAACACACAGATAACAAACCATTGCAATAGTCCAGTCTAGACATGACAAACGCATGAACCAGTTTGTCTACACATTTTTAGATGAGATGTTCCTAATTTTAGTGATATTACGCAGGTGGAGGAAAGCAGTTTTGGTAACATTTTTAATATGGGAGTTAAAGGACATGTCCTGATCAAAAATAACACCAAGGTTTTTAACTTTTGAACTGGAGCCAGATTAATGCCATCCAGAGAAAGTGAAAGATTGAAAAATTTATTCCTAAGATGCTCAGGTCCAAAAACTAAAACCTCAGTCTTGTCTGAGTTTTAAAGCAGAAAATTAAAGGTCACCCAGGTTTTTATGTCTTTAAGACATGCTTGTAGTCTAAGTAACTGATTGGATTCATTGGGTTTCATGGACAAATATAACTGTGTATCATCAGCATAACAATTAAAATTTATCTCATGCTGTTTAATAACTTTACCTAATGGAAACATATACAAGGTAAAGAGTTATTATTATCAACATTGTCAAAATAAAATGTTATAATATTGTCAGTTCTTATTCATTAATGGGACATGTTAAAGTGACAGTTTAGATCTTTTGAATGGGATTCTGCAGAAATATTTTGAACAACTAATATCTTACCTGTTGTAGATAGCTATTTGAAAGACCTCAGTTTGGACAAAAGGGTTTAATTCTGACTGAATTGATGAGAAAACGTCTGGTCCAAGCAGGACTAAAAGCTAAGTGGATTACACCAGTCTCTGAAATGAGCAGTTCATGCAAACATTATTTTATAAACTTTTACAACAGTTAATTTCACATTACTTGCATTTTTACACAAAGATTTGTGGTTCTTTGCAAATGTACATATCATCAACATTAAGCTATAGCTCTTCCTGTGCAGCCTGAGGCACTTCTGGTAAAAATGTAATAGTTATTTTAGATTAAAAGTGTATTGTGAAATTAACAGCAGAGTAAAGGTTTATAAAATAGTATTTGCATAAGTCACAATTAATCTTTTGAGATTGGAGTTGTTTTTAAATTGTATCAACTTTGTTCTGACTATCCATTAGTTTGTCAGTCTAGAGTTACTTATATTTCTCCGAACTGACATCATTCAAAGTGAGTTATCTACAACAGGTAACCTATTATTTATTCATAACCTTTTCACTCCCAAACATCTAAACTATCCCTTTAAGGCTTGTTTTTGTGTCAGCTTGCTGTGTATTTGGTTACCTTTTTATTACCTTTTTTCTTTATATATACTTTTATGCAATGATGATTTCAAAACTGATTTCTAATCTTCCGACATTTGCATTTGGAAGGTTGAATGAATGAATGAATTTTCACTGCCATTATTCTACCATAAGAATGACAAACCTTCCAAAAAATAAATTAGGACTAATTTGAGAAAGTGTTGTTTTTATTTTATTTTAATCAAAATACAGACGTTGCAACAATTCCCAAGTTTATTGAAAATGACAACTTGGTGTCATAACGAAAAAGTTTCCTTGACATATATTAGGAAAAGCTGTGAGCTGTAAAATTATGTTCTTATTTTTCTTATTCCAGTGGAGAAAGTGGGGCAGGAAAGACTGAAGCCACTAAACTGATCCTGCGTTACCTGACAGCCATACATCACAAACGCAATGTCACACAACAGGTATGTACCCAGTGAATGCACCTGCAGACTATAAAGTTTATAGTGGCAGTTTAAACTCGTTTTTTTGTTTCTTATTTCCACCTCGGCCACATACCTACCATCGTCTTTCAGATACAGGTAAAGTGTTGTGCTCTAATGAAAAGCAGCATTGCTGTTGGTACAGTAATGTCCTTGGTAACATTTCTGTGTGATTATTGGTCAGATCCTGGAAGCCACACCCCTTCTGGAGTCTTTTGGAAATGCCAAAACCGTACGCAATGACAACTCTTCACGCTTTGGCAAATATACGCAGATCTACATGGAGGAGTGAGTATTTAAAACTTGCACTAATGTTTGTAGTACTTTGT